TCACGCTATGTTGGACCGCTTCGTCTTGGTCTACTTAGACGACATCCTCGTCTATAGCCGAACTCTAGAGGAGCATCTCGAGCACCTTCGTCGTGTTCTAGAGACTCTTCGGTCAGCCCGGTACAAAGCTAACCGCGACAAATGCGAGTTTGTCCGGCAAGAGCTTGAATACTTGGGTCATTTTGTCTCTCCGGAAGGCATTTGTCCGTTGGCGGACAAGATTCAAGCCATCCAGGAGTGGCCCGAGCCAAAGAATGTGACGGACGTCCGATCCTTCCTCGGCTTGGCCGGTTATTATTAGCGTTTCATCAAGAGTTACTCGAAGATCGCGGCCAACCTAAGCAAGTTACAAAGCGAGGAGCGGCCTTTTGACTTCGATGAAGATGCGCGCCATTCTTTTGAAACACTCAAAGYGRCACTCTTATCCGCCGAGGTGTTACATATTTACGACCCGCTTCTAGCTACGCGCGTCACTACCGATGCGTCGGGCTATGGCATTGGGGCCGTCCTTGAGCAGCACGATGGCACGGACTGGCACCAAGTCGAGTACTTTAGCAAGAAAGTACCTCCCGTGCATTCCATCGACGACGCACGGAAGAAGGAGCTTCTTGCCTTCGTCCACGCCCTCAAGCGTTGGCGACATTTCCTCCTTGGTCGGATAACATTCCGATGGGTAACGGGTAACAATCTGTTGGTATTCTACAAGTCGCAAGACACGATTAACAGTACCATTGCCCGTTGGATGGCCTTCATCGACCAGTTTGACTTTTTCCCTGATCACATTCCCGGGAAGTCAAACCGTTTTGCGGACGCCCTCTCACGGCGACCGGATCTTTGCACCGCAATCTACTCTACCTTCGAGATCGACGACGACTTGCGGGAGAACTTCATCCGCGGCTATCAAGCCGACCCCCACTTTCGCGACAAGTACGCCAATTGCTCCTCTCCGAATCCGGTGCCTTCGCATTATCGGATCCAAGAGGGCTACCTACTTGTGCATTCACGGGGTAAGGATCTTCTTTGTGTGCCGAATGATTCACACTTGCGCACACGGCTTCTTGGCGAGTTTCACGATGCGCCCGCCTCCGGACATTTTGGTGTCAACCGTACACTTGGCCGACTTCGTCGGCGGTTCTATTGGCCCGACCTTCTCAAGGACGCCACCCGCTATTGTGAGTCGTGCGAAGTCTGTCGGCGTTGCAAGTCACGCAACCATCGTCCGTTCGGCGAGCTACACCCATTACCAGTGCCCCTTGGGCGACGGGAAGCAATTGCTATGGATATCACCGGGCCCTTCCCGAAGCACAAGATCGGCGTTGATGGGATCCTCACGGTCGTCGACCGCCTCACCAAGTATGCCATGTTTTTGCCTTGCCGCTATCACGCAAAGGCAGCGGAGTTAGCCGAGGTCTTATACACCAGTTGGATTCGCTCCAAGGGCTACCCCAAGGGGATCGTTTGCGACCGGGACACTCGCTTTCTCTCCGACTTTTGGGTCGCCCTCGTCAAGCGATGGGGCTCATCTTTGAAGCGAGTTCGGCTCGCCACCGGCAAACAGATGGTCAAACGGAAAGGGCGCATCAGACCGCTCAAGTCCTTTTACGCACTCTCATCCGTCCCGACCAGGTTGATTGGGTTGAGTGCTTGCCAGACGTTGAGTTGGCTTACAACTCATCGATCCATCCGGCTGTCGGGATGTCGCCATTCGAGTTTGAGCATGGTTCACCCATCTCATCGCCGCTGGACGCCACTTTGCCCCGCACAGCCAAGAGCGACGACCATCTTGCGTTCCTTCGTCGCATGCAAGAGCTTCTTGTTAAGGCACGGGATCAGATGTCGAAGACGCAAATACGGATGAGCCGTCAAGCCAACCGCAATCGCCTTCCTTGCCCATTCCGCGCCGGCGATCTGGTTTGGGCCTCCGCCGCGGAGTTCAGCCTCGAGCAAGACATCTCTCGCAAGCTCCTTCCCAAGTGGATGGGGCCTTGGCGCATTCTCTCTGCAGTTGGTGATGATCCCGAGGGCCCTTCATTCCGCATCGCGGTGCCACCTCACTTGCCCGTCCACACGGTGTTCCACTGTTCCAAACTCGCTCCTTTCGTCTCAGCGGAGTCCGATGAGTTTCCGGGTCGACGTACGCAAGACCCTCCTTCCATGGACGGATTTCAGGAGGCCGGCTACATCATCACTGACCGGCGCCATGGCAACAAAGAAACAGAGTTTCTACTTCACTTTTCCTACTGCAGCCACAAGGCTGACCGTTGGCTGACGCGTTCGGAACTGCAGGCCACAGC